GGAAGAAGAGTAATCTTGCACATTTCAACTGTATCCAAACTTTCTAAAACACTTAATGAATGTCATTTGTAAAATATAAAACAGTACATGTTGTCTGACAGGTGTGTACTGCCCTGGTGTTTGTCATTATTAAGATGAAAGACGTGTGTGTGTGTGTACATAGAGAGAGAGAGAGAGAGAGAGAGAGAGAGAGAGAGAGAGAGAGAGAGAGAGAGAGAGAGAGAGAGAGAGAGAGAGAGAGAGAGAGAGAGAGCTTGCCTTGGAGTATGAGAACGCATTGTATAGTCGACTGTCACTGTGGGTATGGTAACAAAACGTTTAATGCATGTCTGTACAAATATAACAGTTACTGTCAAATACCTGTCCCTGTTGTTTTATGCGCCCCGCATAATTTGAGAAAAATTTGATCACTTTTTGCATAATTTCTGATTATTTTCCTTTGTCATTCTTTGCTAAAATTAACAAAATCGCATAATTTCACATTTTTCGGCTCAGTTTGCATAATTTCAGAATGTTTCTTGCATAAAACGACGGTGACAGAAATACCTTGGCAAGCACCAGGACTAGGATACACGTTGCTCATTTTGTATGAGCATTTCTTTTTTATAGAGAAAATAAATATCAGAATGATAAATTGGTTTCTTGTAATTATTATCCTAATACTGATTTATCATTACACAAAATGCATAAAGATAAAGGGATAAAAGCATAATATTTACGCAACAATTAATGTGATAAAAGCCTTATACAGACATGATACGGTTATTTCTGACACGTGACTGACTGCTACTATGACCACACTTACTAACTGGATCTCTTCATTGCCCACAAACCTTTGTCCAGATAGTGCTATGTCTCGCTCGGTTGCTATGGCAACAGTTGGTAGTGCGACTCGCCGAGGCTTTTATTGCTAGATAGCACTTCGAAAACGGCGGAGATAAAGTCTGAAGTTGACTTTTATCCTCTAGATCGGGTCTGAAAACGTCGTTAAAGTGCTATCGCTTTCTGCATCATCATTTATTGTAGCAAAGACATCGATTTTAACCACCGCTGAGACAACATAAACAGCGAGGACAGCAGCAAACCTAGTGGCATCCTCCGCTCCTCCTCATCATCATCATCGTCATAATCATCATCATCACCATCATCATATGATCACCACCACCATCACCATCATCATTGTAAATAGCAAGGAATAAAAAAGGGTTGAGACTTGTAGAATTTTCAAATTTTATACACCATCATCATCATCATCATCATCATCATCATCATCATCATCAATGGGAGACCTCCCTTAGACTTTATCCAAAATTCTCGCTCGAAAGAAAGCCGAAGCAAGACAAATAAATTATTTCCCAGCAACTCGATCAGATAACCGCAGACGTAGGCAGACTATAAAAAAAGAAAAGAAAGAAAGCCTCGAGATCGCTGAAGGCCTAGATTCATCGAATGGACCTGATAATCCTGAACGCGCGCTCTACACCCCCCC